CGAAATCGAAATTCGTTTGAAATCGAACAGATTCTACTCATGCCGAGAACTTTTCCGTACACGATCGCATCTCTCTTTTCCCACCGCAAATCCCGTTTGCTATTACCCACACACAAACAAAATGTTTTTCCACTCATTTAAGCTCTTAGGGCAAATTCTAAAAAATCAATCTATCTCTAACTTTCATTTGCTCTAAAATTGGCATATTAAAATTTTATTTGATCGAAATTTTTTCGATATAAAATGAGATATGCAATATTTATAGGTTTCATATAATACTGCCATTCAACTACAATTTTAAGAAAATTTTGTAATAATCTAGGAATACGGCTTAATGAATGTTAATAAACCACGATTTGATATTGTTACGCATAAAACAAGGTTTTTGGTCACATTGTTTGAAAATAATTTATATTTTTTGATTCCGATTGAGAAATTAAGATCATTTTATTTATATCATAATAAACTAATTTCACTTATTCTATTTCTCAAAAAAGAGACAATAAATGACTTCCCATGAAAACTAAGTTCAATTTTATAGTCCACATTCAACAATTACTCAATAGTTATTATATGTAAATTATTATTTTCACTTTTCTCCATAGAATTGCTATTAATACAGAGTTCGTAACACACAAGTTAGCTCACAATTTTTCTCGTCCCACTGGCATTTTCCCGCTGTTTTGTTTTTATTCGGAAGTTTAAAGTTGTTGCTGTTGGTGCTTTTGTTTTTGTTGTCACAGTCAACTACTGTAATGAGGTATTACACAGCACCTTGGCAAAAAACAAACACAATATGAATATATTGTTTTTGTTGGTGCAGTTGTTGATTCGCGTTATTTTTATTCCCCACTCTGTGTGTTGGTAGTTTACTTGGATTTTTTGTTGTTATTTTATTTACTTCTCTATCCCATTGGTTCTCCCTCTCTTTGTTTGGTTATTTTGTTACGGGTGATTTTTTTCGGCTCACGTAATTGACATTCTCAACTGGTTTACAGCAGAGATGCTCACAATGCACAAATAAGTTTTGTTTAGACACTTTGGCTCTCACTCTCTTGACTTTGTAAAATAATGGCACACAGTGATTTAAAATCGGCTTTTGGTCAAAGTGCTGTAACTTTTAAATTTAAATATTTTCATTTTTTTTCTTTTCTGCAAAGGTAAAACCTTATTTCTTAGATTTGGGTACTCGGACTGTTAAGGAATTTAAGTTCAGTGCCCAACCTTCGAATTATTTGAACAATTAAATTGGAAAAGTTTAAAGGACCATTAGACTAATAGACATTGATATATAAGAGAACAGTTTCTAAAGGGGAACTTCTCCAATACATGCGGATTTTTTAAGAACACTCAAAAATATTTTTTAACGTAGATTTGTTAAAGAATATTTGTAAGGACCCTCAAGCCATTAAACATTGATTTGTTAAATAATATTTTGAAGCCAGAAAACGTGGATTTTTTAAGGACTTCCAATTCACTAAGGGTAGATATTTTTAAAAAATATTTTTAAGGACTCTCAACCCACTAAATGTGGATTTTTTAAGTATTCCCAAGCCACTAAACGTAGATTTTTTAAATCCACTAAACGTGGATATTTTAGGTACTACCATGCCAGATTTTTAAAGATTTTTTAAAGAATATTTCTAAGGACACTAAAGCCACTAAACGTCGATTTTTTATGGACTCTCAAGCCACCAAACGTGGATTTTTAAAGACTACGAAGAATGTAAAAGCAGTCTTTTTAAAGAATATTTTTAGGTCCCTAAAGCCACTAAACGTGGATTTTGTAACACTCTCAGCGACCAAACGTGGATTTTTTTAGTACCATCAAGCCACTAAACGTGGATTTTTTAAATAATATTTTTAAATGTGGATTTTTAAGAAGATTTTTTAATTTTAAATTTTGGCCAATCAATGTAGAATTTAAAAAAAAATATATAAACTTTTAAGGATAATTTGACCAATAAACTAGGATTTTGAAGATGATTATTTCTGAGACAAGTTCACCAATAAACGTTATTTTTTAATATTTTTCTGGAACATGTCGGTCAATATTTTTTTTTTTTTTTTTTTGGACAAATCGACCATTGAATTTTTTTACCATTTTTCTAGAACATATCGGCCAATATTTTTTGGGACAAATCGACCAATAAACGTAGATTCTTGTAAAAAATATTTTTTCTGGGATAAGCGTTTTAAAATATTTTTACGACATATTGGCCAATATTTTTTAGGATATATAAATAAAAGTAAATTTTTTAAAATATATTTTTTCCAGGACAAGTCGATGAATAAAAAATAAAATATTTTTCTGTGAACAATAAATATTTTTTGTGTGACACAAATCGATCAATAAACAGGAATTTTTTAAATTATTTTTGTTTGAGACAAATCGAGCAAAGAGAGCGGATTTTTTTAAAAATATTTTTTCTGGGACAAATAAACCAAATTTTTTATTGGTTTTGGGACAAATCGACCAACAAGCGTGGATTTTTTAAAATAAAAGCGTGGATAAAAATAAGCGTGGACTATTTTAAAAACATTTTTTTGGGATAAAAATAAGCGTGGACTATTTAAAAAAAAATTTTTTTGGTATAAAAATAAGCGTGGACTATTTTAAAAATATTTTTTTTTTTTGGGATAAAAATAAGCGTGGGCTATTGTAAAAATATTCTAGAACAAATCGACCTATTTTTAGTTGGTTTTGGGACAAATCGACTAATAAGCGTGGATTTTTTAAAAATATTTTTTCTGGGATAAATCGACTAATTTTTTGTTGGTTTTGGGACAAATCGCCTAATAAGCGTGCATTTTTTTTAAATATTTTTGTGGGAAAAATCGATAAATTTTTTGTTGGTTTTGGGACAAATCGTCTAATAAACGTGGATTATTTTATAAAACATTTTTCTGGGATAAAAGAATAAAAAAGTAACGATTTTGTGTTTTCGGCCATATTTTTTGGGACATTCGGGCAATATTTTTTAGAGAACAAAGCTTGAATGGCTTGAATTTTATTAATTAATATTTCTTTTTAGGACAAATCGACTAATATGTATATTGAAGGAAACAAAACGACCAATATGCGGGGATTTTGTAAAAATACTTTTTCTTTAACAAATCGTTCATTTTTTTTTTTTTTTTTGGGACAAATCGACCAATATTCTTTAAAGACATTCAATAAGCGTGGATATTGTGAACATATTTTTTAGAACAAATCGACCAATGTGTATATTTTAGGAAACAAATCGACCAGTAAGCGTGGATTTTGTAAAAGTAATTTTTGGAACAAATCGACCAATATTTTTTTTGACAAATCGATCAAAATTTCTTTTGAACATATCGAAAAACATGGAATTTTTTTAAATTATCCCAAAAAATAAGGTAAAAGGTAAGAATATTTTTTCGACCAATAAACTTGGATTTTTAAAGAATATTTTTTTCGACCAATAAACGTGGATTTTTAAAGAATATTTTTTTCGACCCATAATCATATATTTTTTAAAGAATATTTTTTTCGACCAAAAAAACGTGGATTTTTAAAGAACATTTTTTTCGACCAAAAAAACGTAGATTTTTAAAGACTATTTTTTTCGGCCAAAAAATACGTGGATTTTTAAAGAATATTTTTTTCGACCAAAAAAACGTGGATTTTTAAAGAATATTTTTTTCGATCAAAAAACGTGGATTTTTTAAGAATTTTTTTTTTTTCGACCAAAAAACGTGGATTTTTAAAGAATATTTTTTTCGATCAAAAAAACATGGATTTTTAAAGAATATTTTTTTCGATCAAAAAAAACGTGGATTTTTAAAGAATATTTTTTTCGATCAAAAAAACGTTGATTTTTAAGAATATTTTTTTCGATCAAAAAAACATGGATTTTTTAAGAATATTTTTTTCGACCAATAATTAATTTTTCTGGAACAAATCGTCCAATATTTTTTGGGACAAATCGATCAAAAAAACGTGAATTTTTAAAGAATATTTTTTCGAACAATAAATAATTTTCTGGAACAAATCGTCCAATATTTTTTGGGACAAATCGATTAAAATATCTTTTGGACATATCGAAAAACATGGAATTTTTTTAAATTTATCCCAAAAAATAAGGTATTGATTTGACATACAAATCACTGTGCGCCACACGTAAGTAAATGAAAAGAGCTTATGAGAGGCACCCAACCCCGCTGAGCTTAGCTGATCTACGGATATTTGTGTATGTATGTATGTTTGTGCCTGGCCCCAAGTATCCAGCCGGGAGGGGGTCTTTTTTGTTGTATTTCAGCGTTTCAAAGTTATTTTCGGTGTGTGTGCCTAAGGCCTGAATGTCGATTTAAATGACTGACTGCCTGGCTGGCTGGCTGGGCTCTGGCTTGGGAAACGTCGTCGCGTATGCAATGTTGAATGTTTTGCCATGGCAAATGCTTGACTGCATTTTAAGTACTTTAACTTCCCGAATAATGGTTCCCCAAGACAAATACATAATACCTGTGATCATTATTAAATATAGACACCAAAACACAAAATGATGATGATGACGGTTATCATTGTTATTTGGCTGACAATGTCGTTGCCTATTTCCGTGGCCAAGTATTGGTGCATGTGTGTGCGTGTGCAACACTGGCTTGGCTGACTGCACTCATGCTATGCCATAATAGTTGTCGGAAATCAAACATCATGGACATGGATAAATTACAAATAAGCCCAGCTCATGTTGTTGCTGGTTGTTGTTGTTTTTACTTTTTTTTTCAAATATAATTTCACGCATTAATGTCATCCAACCATTCAAGCATGGATTTTACAAAAAAAGAAATACCCCCCACACAAATTCACGATAAATGCGGGGGAGTAACTTATTTTGTCGTTGTTGTTGTTTTTGTTATTTAAATGAACACTCTTTTAATTTTCTTTGGCAATTCTTATTCGTTTTTTTTAAATCATATCTTCTAATTCTGGCTCAATTTTGCCTCCACATACACTCACACACTCTTCAGAAACTCACATTTTTTTCTTTTTAAATTTTATTTTTTGTTGTTGGTATTTTTTTGGTGGTGGTACTTAAAAAACAAAAAAATAAGAACACAAAATTCTGGTAAAACGCGTCTTTTATGAGGGATCTGTTTATTCGTCTCGGTTTTGCTGAGCGAGCAATGTTAGACCACGTCTTGGCTAAATCACGTTCAGTAAATGACTGACTGAGACAAGACTTGTTTGGGCAGCCCATAAACCACCATGGCTAATACAGAGCGAGAGAGCAAAACAGATCAAAGTCAGAGCGGAGAAAAAAGTTTAATATTATTTTCTGCTAAGAAATAGGGATTTGCGTTTTGATAATTAAATTAAAAAAATCGAAGAATATTTTTTTCGACTAATGAACGTGGATTTTTAAAGAATATTTTTTCGACCAATAAACTTGGAATTTTAAACAATATTTTTCGACCAATAAACTTGGAATTTTAAACAATATTTTTCGACCAATAAACGTGGATTTTTAAAGAATATTTTTTTTCGACCAATAAACGTGGATTTTTAAAGAATATATTTTTCGACCAATAAACGTGGATTTTTAAAGAATATTTTTTCGACCAATAAACGTGGATTTTTAAAGAATATTTTTTCGACCAATAAACGTGGATTTTTAACGAATATTTTTTCGACCAATAAATGTGGATTTTTAAAGAATATTTTTTTTCGACCAATAAATGTGGATTTTTAGAGAATAATTTTTTTTCGACCAATAAACGTGGATTTTTAAAGAATACTTTTTTCGACCAATAAACGTGGATTTTTAAAGAATATTTTTTTTGACCAATAAACGTGGATTTTTAAAGAATATTTTTTTCGACCAATAAACGTGGATTTTTAAAGAATATTTTTTTCGACCAATAAACGTGGATTTTTAAAGAATATTTTTTTCGACCAATAAACGTGGATTTTTAAAGAATATTTTTTTCGACCAATAAACGTGGATTTTTAAAGAATATTTTTTTCGACCAATAAACGTGGATTTTTAAAGAATATTTTTTTCGACCAATAAACGTGGATTTTTAAAGAATATTTTTTTCGACCAATAAACGTGGATTTTTAAAGAATATTTTTTTCGACCAATAAACGTGGATTTTTAAAGAATATTTTTTTCGACCAATAAACGTGGATTTTTAAAGAATATTTTTTTCGACCAATAAACGTGGATTTTTAAAGAATATTTTTTTTGACCAATAAACGTGGATTTTTAAAGAATATTTTTTTCGACCAATAAACGTGGATTTTTAAAGAATATTTTTTTCGACCAATAAACGTGGATTTTTAAAGAATATTTTTTTTGACCAATAAACGTGGATTTTTAAAGAATATTTTTTTCGACCAATAAACGTGGATTTTTAAAGAATATTCTTTTTGACCAATAAACGTGGATTTTTAAAGAATATTTTTCGACCAATAAACGAGGATTTTTAAAGAATATTTTTTTCGACCAATCAACTTGAATTTAAAAAAATATATATTTTCAAAGGACCAGAAACAATGTGGACTTTAAAAAAATATTTTTTCAAAGGACCAGAACCAACGTGAATTTTTTAAAGAATATTTTTTCGAAGGATTTTTTAAAGAATATTTTTTCAAAGGACCAGAAACAACGTGGAATTTTTAAAGAATATTTTTTCAAAGGTCCTGTTTCGGTTCGATTTTTTAAAGAATATTTTTTCAAAGGCCCTGTTTTTGTTGGATTTTTTAAAGAATATTTTTTCAAAGGTCCCGTTTCTGTTGGATTTTTTAAAGAATATTTTTTCAAAGGTCCTGTTTCTGTTGGATTTTTTAAAGAATTTTTTTTCAAATGTCCTGTTTCTGTTGGATTTTTTAAAGAATATTTTTTCAAAGGTCCTGTTTCTGTTGGATTTTTTAAACAACGTGTATTTTTTAAAGAATATTTTTAAAGGACCAGAAACAACGTGGAATTTTTAAAGAATATTTTTTCAAAGGACCTGTTTCGGTTCGATTTTTTAAAGAATATTTTTTCAAAGGTCCTGTTTTTGTTGGATTTTTTAAAGAATATTTTTTCAAAGGTCCCGTTTCTGTTGGATTTTTTAAAGAATATTTTTTCAAAGGTCCTGTTTTTGTTGGATTTTTTAAAGAATATTTTTTCAAAGGTCCCGTTTCTGTTGGATTTTTTAAAGAATATTTTTTTCAAAGGTCCTGTTTCTGTTGGATTTTTTAAAGAATTTTTTTTCAAATGTCCTGTTTCTGTTGGATTTTTTAAAGAATATTTTTTCAAAGGTCCTGTTTCTGTTGGATTTTTTAAAGAATATTTTTTCAAAGGTCCTGTTTTTGTTGGATTTTTTAAAGAATATTTTTTCAAAGGTCCTGTTTCTGTAGGATTTTTTAAAGAATATTTTTTCAAAGGTCCCGTTTCTGTTGGATTTTTTAAAGAATATTTTTTCAAAGGTCCTGTTTCTGTTGGATTTTTTAAAGAATTTTTTTTCAAATGTCCTGTTTCTGTTGGATTTTTTAAAGAATATTTTTTTCAAAGTTCCTGTTTCTGTTGGATTTTTTTAAAGAATATTTTTTCAAAGGTCCTGTTTTTGTTGGATTTTTTAAAGAATATTTTTTCAAAGGTCCTGTTTCTGTTGGATTTTTTAAAGAATATTTTTTCAAAGGTCCTGTTTCTGTTGGATTTTTTAAAGAATATTTCTTCATAGGTCCTGTTTCTGTTGGATTTTTTAAAGAATATTTTTTCAAAGCACTAGAAACAACATGGATTTCTTTAAAGAATAATTTTTCAAGGGCCATAATTCGTGCCAAAGTTGACCAATTCGGACAAATCTAAACTTATTCTAAAAATTTGATGATATTTCCGACATTTTTTACTTTTATTCAATAAAATTTTAAAATAAAAAATTAAATGTAAAAAATGTAGATTCTTCTAATCGTAAATAAAACACCTCCAACAAATTCTATTAATATTTTGCATTGTATTTTGTTTTATTTTTCTTCTTGCTCATATCTTTTGTAATATTTGTATATATTCTTGTAATGTTTATGGCTTAATAAATACACACCAAAAAAATATGCATTTAAGTTCATTTGTTTTTTTTTTTTTTAATTTAATAAATTTTCAATTGCCACTTCAGTTTTTTTCTATACGTTTGGTTATTAAATGTTGATAGTAGTAAAGGAGGGGGCCCAATTGGCCCCTCTCCAAAATTCACAACAACGGTGCGTGCAATTCTAACGACATGATATAAACAAGTGCAAAAACACCCACAAAAAAGCGGCAGGAGGAGTTGAGGAAAATTATGTCACAAAAATATTAGCACTTTAGAGTAAGATTTGATTTTTTTTTTAATATTTATCTAAAAAGAAATGTATGTTTGTGATGTTTGTTTTAAACTAATATCATTATTTACGAGGCCTTACATTGTTGCTGTTGTTATGAGTAGTAGTTGTTGTTGTTTTTTATTTGCAAATGGCAGTTGATGGTTGAAATTTTTGGGAAAAATGGAAATCTCTTTGTTGTAGTAGTTTACATTTATGATTTATTTTATTTTATTTTGTTTTCTGCTTTTTAGATCGAATTGTATTCCATGATAACAATGTTTTATGTTTACTTAGCTATTTGTAACACCCATTATTTATTAACTTTTAAGTTAAACTTTGTTTTATATTCTTCTGAGTAGTGTAGAGAGTGTGTGGTTGTTGAATTCTAGTTCGATAAGAATTTGAGTAGTTGTTTCATTCTGGGTTTTTGTTTTTATTTTGTGTTTAACTACATACAACTTTTCGCTTGGCGTAGCATTAAATCCTAGGCTAATTCTAAACGTTTCATTTCCTTAAACAATTCCTTGCCCATTTGAGCGGGACTCCTGGTGACAATGACGCCGGCCTTTTCCAAAGCCTTGATTTTGTCACCGGCACCACCCTTACCGCCTGAGATTATGGCACCAGCGTGACCCATTCTACGGCCGGGAGGAGCAGAGAGACCAGCAATGAAGGACACCACCGGCTTGGCTTTGATACCCTTGAAAAAAATTTAAACAAAACATTAAAGAAATCTTAAAACTTCAAATTTCATTCCGTTTAACTCACAGTATTGTATTGTGACAAATAGGCAGCAGCATTTTCTTCGGCCACACCACCAATTTCACCAATCAAAATAATACCCTTGGTGTCGGGGTCCTTGAGGAAGATCTCCAAGCAATCAATGAAATCGGTACCGTTGAAGGGATCACCACCAATGCCAACGCACAGGGTTTGGCCCAAACCAACTTCGGTGGTCTGATTGACAGCCTCATAAGTCAAGGTGCCGGATCTAGAGACAACACCGATCTTGCCGCGCTTGTGAATGTGACCGGGCATAATGCCAATTTTGCACTGCAAAAAGAAAAGAGAAATAATGCAATGTTAATTGTTGTTGTTTTGTTTTTCTTGTTGTTAATGAAAAATTGTTGTTTGTTGCCAAACACTAGGGTATAGATGAAGATTGAATAATAGTTTTTCAAAAGCAGCTACACGCAAAAAGGGGGAAAGACAGAATCCTAAACAGACAAATAATATAATTTTCAAATGAATTTGGGAACAAAATATGGAAAAAGTTACATGAAATAATAAAAATTAGAGTTGATTAGAACTGGATTTGATTTGGGAGAGAGAAATCAACCAAGTGAAAAAAGTAAAAATGTAGTTAAGTTCGGCCGGTTTGAATTTTTTTTACCAATTTCAAAATTTTATGTATGTCCAAATCGGCCCTAAAATTTGCCAATTTCCGCTTTAAGGGGCCGAAAACTACAATATTCCGAAAATCTGAAAGTTCCGCCATATGAAGTCTATACTAAAAAGTGGGCCTACATTGCAAAATTTTTGGCGAGGAGTTAAACTACATTTTAAGAAAACTAAATGGAAATTTTTGGCTGGTTGGGGGGCCCGAAACCTCCTAAATGCCGAAAATCAGGGGATATCGTTATATGGGGCTATAAAAAATTAAGGTCTACAATAAATACTTTTCGATGGGTTCACATTACCCACTAAGTAATCAAAAAGTCGAATTACAGTAAATTAGTTTGGAATTTTAGCCGAAATTTCCAAAATTTTTAAATATTCAGGGGTATAAATATAGGGAGTCAGCAAGATAAATTGGTTCTAGATAGAAAAAATTTTGGGAGGAGTTAAACTACCTTTAAAAAAAACTAAATTAAATTTTTTGGCTGGTTTGG